TATCAGGATAACAAAAGCGCGATTCTACTGGAAGAGAATGGTCGCAAGAGCGCGGGCAAAAGAAGCCGAGCTATCAATATTCATTATTTCTTTATCACAGATCAAGTTGAGAAAGGAAATGTTAAGACCGGATACTGTCCAACTGACAATATGATTGCGGATTTTATGACTAAGCCATTGCAAGGTGAGAAGTTTCGCTAGTTCAGGGATCTAATTCTTGGTCCACAGGAATAGGTCAGACAAGTATGTATATGTTCAAATGAAAATACAAAACAAAAATAAACAGTGAATGAGAGCATGTCCCATTGCTGCCAATGGTGATTGTCGCAATGGCAGGAGTGTGTTGGGATATGACGAAATATGAGTTTTTACGTTCCAAACGAAACTATTCAAGTATGAGGTTTTCGACACGTGCGATCGGACTTTGATCGTGCGCGATGTCGGGATTTGACGCAAGTATGCCGGACGCAAGTCTGTCGGACAATCTATATCCACACAAACAGGAAAAGATCCTATACAAGTGAATATTGATGTTGTGTACGATGCAGTAGGGAATAATGCAAGATGTCCCAAAGTACTGCATTCAACACAGCATTGTCGTAGAAGTCGAATTGAGTTCTGTAAACAAGGGATTTTCCAAGGGAAAATCGTTGAGCTCACTTTTGTGATTGAAACATCAATTCAAGCCAAACATTAATCAAATAGGAACAATTTCACTCAAAGTATACCTAGACACAGGAGAACTATTGTTGTGAAAGTGTTGTACAATCGATTACGAACAGTACTATCCTACTGTACTTATACATATGCTTCCTTGCCACATCAGCTACACATCATCAAAACAAACATCATATCTTTCCTGCAACTAATAACATAATTCTAGAGAATCCATCCCTTTACATCAATTCTCTCTACCTTCATACATACAACACCTGGTGCCTCCCCACGTCATCTTGGTTGGCTTCCTTCTTCCAATTGAGGCTTCCAACTTTTCTAGGTTCTTTGCTAATCTTAGGGTTCTTTGACTACGACTGGTAATATCTCAGTTTCTAGCAGTCCTACACTTTCCTACACTGATTACGACTGGGACAATGATACTGCCACTAGATTTTCAATTCAAGCCATGTCGTCCACCATTTTTGGAGCCAGCACTCTGGGAATGGTCAAAACCCGGTCTTGTCAGTCGGTCTTGTCAGACTGGGACTTCATTTGTCCTCATGCATGCCTATTGTAACGGATATGCTGAGTTGCCTCTGTTGGAAATTGGTTCTGGCGGACATCAGACAAGCGGCCCTTTAAGCTGGCTTGTCTTCGTCCAAACCAACTGACAACATTGTGGCCCATCAAGCCATGATTGCCAACCAGCCGTGCCAGTATGCGACCCATCAAGTTGTCATGCAGAGGCACTTACCATAGTGATCTCCGATCCATCTAATAAAAAATAATCATCTCTACAGGAAATAACTATTCTAAAAGACTTGTTATCTACATGGAATGGGCAAAGCAAAAGCTTTGCACGAAAACTCAAATTTCCCAACCTTTCTTTATTGCATGCCACGCAATCAAGAAGGGCCGGTACAAAACCCACATACAGAACTCCCGCAGGATTCCGCTTGGGATTTTTGTGGCACTCAGGTAATTTAAGATTGCCCGAGCGCACAATTCCATGTTCCAGATTCTCTGCTAGACCAGCTCCTAGGAATCCCCCAAAAGACGAACCAAACGGACATTTGTCCGTCTGTCCGATCGGACGTGTTGAACTGCTTTTATCAAGGAGTTTCCAATGAATGGTCTCCAAGAGAGCAATTCCAACAGCCTCCACCATCCGCAGCTGTCTTGTCGTCATCTCCTGATACACTGAGTTGCCTCCGCGAGCACTATCATGGATCGTCACCATGATTGTCGTCATTTGTCTTCATGGTTATTGTGGATCTTGGTGAATAGGTCATCCTCCATTCAACCTTTGTTTTGTGTGCGTATGCTGACACCAACAATGTTTTGCCTTAAATCGTCATGACCTGGATATGCTACCACTATTGATACAGCAGTGTATGTACTGTCTGCTTTATTTGACGCAAAACAATACTTGGCTCTGCATCATCGCCACCACAGAGATGATTCAGAGATGATTCAATAGTCTTGTTAGAATGGCTGGTTGGCTTCCTTCAGCCACCATCATCGTCCCTCGTCAGCAGCACATGCTTTTCAATTTGCAACATGTAATCATTCTACAAGGCGGCCACTGCTTTGTTGCTTTTCAGGCTTTGCTCTCTTGTCTAGTTTGATATTATTCATGTTCCCCACACTGATTTGTCTGGACACACTGATGTTTCGGCAGCAATCAAAGACGGAGGGCCCAGTGTAGTACCTGCACCAAAATCATATGAGATCTAGTATATGTACAGTCAAATCGTATCTATTAGAGCCAACAGCTCTTTTACTTTGTCTTCAAGTGTTTTAAAAGCTTCAATGCAGCTGCCGACTTCTGACTACAAATAGTGACTATCGTATCATACAGTAACATACCAATAGTATTTGAACTTGTTTCGATGTGTCTGTCCTTCCACTCCAATTTGGTTCACCTGGGAGGTGGAGGTCAGACTACCGGTAGATAGCCGTGCCGGTGTCTTGTGGTAATAATGTGCTTCGAGGAAGGCGCCGGCGCAGATCGATTGTTCGACTCACTCCCAATGCGCCTTGGTCAAAACAGGAGTGACACGTTGAAAGGAGTTTTTCAGCCGAAGCAGTCTATTCTACGAGTAGTGTGCAACTCGTGCAAACCCCCAGCAGAAGTACACACTCATTGGAGAAGTCAGATTTAAAGATGGATATTACATGTCTTTTGGCAGCTATTCTATTTTTTGTTGCCAATCTTCTTCAGATCATCTATTATGGATTGGAACGAACACGTGAAGACTTGGCGTTCACAGCGTCTGCGCTGGATCCAGAAGCGATTGAAAGCGAATGGAATTGGAGAATTGATCACAAACCGCAATTTTTGGCTGCTGGAATCCTCAATGGGCTTGCTTGGTTTTTCTTTGCCTTTCCGATGATGCAGCTCGCATGGGTCCTCTCCCAACGCGGCTCAAAATCCCTCTGGCTTCATGTTGCAATTGCCCTTCTTGTACTTGCTGGATCATTGACCGAGTGGATCAGTCGTTTCATGTACATCGGATCATCCATGGCGACTGAGCTATTGGTGACGCAATTCGACTTGGACAACTGGGCCTACCCTGACGACGGAGTTGGTTGGAGAACTCTAGAGGTCATCCACACAGTAACGACCGGCCTTGTTGCATTTGTCGACGCTTTTGAGTGGATTGCCCTCTTTTTCATTCTCATGTTTGTTCACATTAGTGTCCGAAGATGGCGTGTCTATGACATTTCTACGTTCGGGGCGTGTTGGAATGTTCTTGGTCTCTTCATTTCATTGCTCAGTTTGTGTGATTTTGTGGCAGAGATCCTTCGGGTCAGCGACGGCTCTATGGTTTACGCAGATATTGCGTTTTGGTATTCTGGCGCAAACCGATTGGTGTTGATGCCTGTTTGGCTCCTAATGCTCGGCTGTCAACTCCCTGCTGCTGCAGCAAAATCAATGGAAACCGCCCAACACCGCGCCGTTGGAGGCCCTCTAGTGGAAAATCGGGGGACTTTGGCACCAACAAGCCAGCTGACATGAGAACGTGGTGGCAAAACTGTTAAGGTGGATACAACTACAGTATTTAATTAAATCAGATTTGATGATACGATCGGCTCCGAACTGTACGGATGGATAGGATGGGAACGACATCTGGGTTGAAGTAGAAGATAATTTCGAAAACATGATAGAAATTCTTGTTTACCTACAGTATGATGCCGTGCTGCAACCTTGATCATTCTGTACGTAGGCACGATGATCGATCTTACTGCAGTGCTGACGAGAAGTTCGGGAACGAGGGAGCATTCGAGGGAATAAGGGACGTTTCGTCCAGCATTCAACCGTTTTCCCCCTGTTTTCTCCCTTGATTCCCTTTTTGCCTTGGAAAATTCAAATGCGTTAAATTGAGTAGCGAGGTACGAGGGATTTGGGACAAAAACGAGTACGATGACAAACATGGGGATTTTACAAGATGTGTGCGAATCTCTAGGTTAAACTATCTAACGTACGAATGACGGACACTCTCTGGTCCAATTAACGGTCCCCTCAAGGTGATACT